TGAAGGATGGTTTTATACACTCCTTGCATAAAGGTGACTGACTTCACAAGGAAGTAATTCAATGAAAAAGTTCTTCAGCAGTTATAGACAGCATGTATATGTAGACTGAAGCCATCAGATATTTTCAGTTAAAGGGTAACCACACCTGTCTGCAAATGTTGTCCCTATTCATACTTGAAAAAGCTGAAATCTCCTCTAAATTGAATATTTCAACTCTAGTGTTGGTTCATCTCAGCAGGTGGCAGTATGTGCAACACTAATTTAATCTCTTGGATGTCAGAGATACTTAATATTTGTAAATAGCAGACAGCACAGAAAATACCTCGGAAGGACGGCAGGAAAACAATGCACACTATTGCTGAAAATTAATGGCAGCTTATGTTGGCTCTGCATGTTGGAATGCAAAAACTAGGGAAGCATCTAAAGGATATCTGCCAGAAATTCACATTTAATGAATGTGCAGTAAGTCTTACACAGCTGACATTTCACACTCTTCAATAAAAAGGGAAAAGCTGCTGGGTTGATCTATTTGTTTTCCTTTGCTCATCTGTTTTTCTGTCTGCTAAGACAACAGAAATGTTGGAAATAAGATGATGTAACTTCTCACTGAATCTGTACCGATACAAACTCTGCTCTGTAAGATCCAACAGGCCAAAGTACTGGAAAGCACTGGCATTGTATCTCATCACAGCTGCATTATCAGCCACCACTGTGACTGGAAGGGCAGACAATAACCAAGTGTCACCTCTGTCTTCAGAGGTGAAGGCAACACATGGGTTTGCACTGGCAGCCAGGAACAAGTCATAAAGCACACACACTATGTCTGACTTCACAGTGCTTCTGGCAAAAGATAACTGGAGATCTATTTATTGTAGCTCTAAATACCAACGAGCTGCTTGTTGATTCTGCTGTCAGGTATCTGTCCTGCAGTGCCAAACTTCAGGAACTGTTTGCTGAATCTCATCAAAGAAATAGTGGGCCAAGCTCATCTGCTGTTTGTTGAAGAGGCTCACTTGTCAGAACCGAATAAATACTTCTGGCTGCCCGGGGGGCTCAGAGACCTTGGCACAGAGCCCAAGACCCCGTGCCTTTGATTTAACCTTGGAAAAAACAATTACTAACCTTATATGAAGAATTACAAGCCACAAAAGTTTAAGTAGAATGATAGTGAATTTATCACAGGCTGAAAAATTGATTTCTTGGGGTTTTTAGAATGGGGGTTCGGGGAGCAAGATGGAGGAATCTGGGTGTGTCCAGCCTTTCTCCTTCTTCTTGGCTTCCATATTCTGCTGTGATGTTGGCACTTTTAGATTGGTTTAGAGTAGAAGCTCACTGTCTAACATAGGTGATAGGTATTGGAAAGTAATTGTAAACATTATATACGTAGTTTTTAGTATAAGAAGATAACATTGCCTCTGAGGCGGGCAGAGTGCCTCTGACTGTCTTGCTGAGCAGTCCTCTGCAGGTCAGGAGAAATAATTTTATAGATAAGATACAATAAATAACCTTGCAACCGAGAACTGAAGAGTTCTGACTCCTTCGACCATCGGGCTGGGAAAAGAGACTTGTATGTATCTCGGGGTCACTCTGACCGGCTAGAGATCCCAAGACTCACTGACAAGGACAGGCATGACGGCTGTTCTTCATTCAGCTAAAAAGAAAGGCTAGCTCCAGCACAGGCTTGCTTAGTCATGAAACTGCCATCCAAACCAGAAGCTATTTGTGAGGTTGAATGACACAAGCAACTAGTTGCACTGCCAGCTGAATGTCAGCGCAGACAGGGGACTGCTCTGATTGCAGCCAGGCTTTGTGCAAAGAAACACCAAGGAAACACCAAGGGAAAACACACAGAAAGAGAAGGAAAACATAGGTATCATCAGAAGGGTCCTTATAAATCTCTGCTGAAGAAAAGCTCAGAGAAATTTTGGGTAAAATTATGGTAAAAAGACATCTTGGTCTACAGACGATTCTCAGTGTATAACTTGTCCATTTGATCAATTTTTGTAATATATAAATATGTTTATTTATAACATATTTATATATGTTTCTTCATATATACCTGTTTCTTCTCCTAAAAGAAATGTGCAATTTTATTCACATTAAAAAAAAATAGAAACCACAACAAACAAAAAGCCAGATTAACAAAAAACCCTACAAGTGCTACCAGACAGTACATAAGTGTTTAGTGGATGATGAGTGCTACACAAGAAGAGAGAGATGGAAAAGATCCCATAGAAAAATTGCCAAAAAAACCCACTCATGTTTGCAGTTATTTCTCTCACATGAATGAATCAGGAATACCCAATTGGTAATCTCAGGTCCCTTGACAGCAGCAACACTGAGAAATCTTTGCTTAAGAAGGATGACTTCACTTTCATTACTCTATACCAAGACCACATGGAAGGTACCTTTCAACCGTTTCCTTTCTTAAGGTAACCCCACTGGAATTTGTTTTTCCATGGAGAACCATTTCCTTTTGTGCCTCTAAGGGTTTGCTAAAGCCTTTTCCCTATGTAATCCTTCAGCATCTTGGCTGCCTCAAGAATACTGTTGGACAGGACCTGTTTAGTCAAAAGCTGTGGCTTAAACTAAGATTGTCTAAGGTATTTTTTAAAGCAAAAATACTTGATCATGGTATTCTAAGGAGTTTTCGATCTGGCAATTGAACAAGTAAATATATTTGCTACAACATGGGCTTTAAAATTTACAACTGCATCGGTATTTTACCTCTCGTGTGTGCATATGAGCTGAACTGCTTGGTATTTATGTGCTTTAAACTGCCAGTGCAGACAGTCTGGCTACTCCAGACATACAGCTGGGAATAAAGTAGCTGCTATGGCTTAGTCTGATTTTCTGATAAGCTGCACAGAGTTATTAAGTGTGATTCTCAGCACTGTGTGCAATAGAATAAGCTGAATTTTTTTCTGTGTTTAGAAACTTCATCCTTTTCCATTCTGTCCATTTTGTTGGTCTTTTCTTCAGCACTAGGACATTTCTGTCTTCATGACTTCATGTTTTGCTGTCACTGAGCATAGCTGGCAAGGCCCTGCAACAAGCTGCAAAATCTTTCCTGGTTCTGAAATAGCAGGGGCCTCACAGCATTCTGGTGCAGAAAAAGTGCCCCTGTTTGATGTTACACTATGCCATGGCTCTGCTCTCATCACATCCCCCAGCATTATGGTACATTATGCTCCTCATGTGACCTCAGGGGATCCTGACACAGGACCTGACAGACTTCATGTCATGCACAAGCCTCATGTAAGATGAGAGGTCTGATGTTGCTCCATCATAAAGAGATTATGTGTGTCTGCATTTATCTTCATCATGTCAGTGGGTTCAGCAGTTTGACTCCTTGCTGTTGAGAATGTGAGAGGAGATTGTTTACAAGGTGAAACAATAGCAGGAATAAAAGATCAGACCTTGGAAAAGTTAGGAGGAACAAATTATCATGGCTCAAGGCACTGCTGTTTTGGACTGAAGTGTCTAACCTGTTCTTAGCTTTTGGTCAGCAGTTGTACTTTTAAACTTAGGTGAGATGGAAAACAAAGATTTTGTCCACCAATTTTAGGCTGCTTTAAGGCTAGCAGTGCCCTGGTACCATTTAAGGGAAATTTTGTTGCAATCCATAAAGTGATTGCAAGTAATGTGGCCATAGGTAAAGACCAACAGTATTTTGAAGTATCAAAAGTGTCAAAATGGGTGCACCAATAAAATATTGAGTGTCTTACTCCTATGTCAAAGATGTTGTGTGACTACAAATTAGACCTAAGATCACTAAATGTGATAGAATCTGATATAAAATAGCAGATAGTTGACATATCACTACTTGAATGCAGAGCAGCATGAGAGTCCTCAACATTTTTGGTTTTTACTCAAAAGCATATCTTTAAAAACAAAAATTTCCTTTCAGGTTACAGTAGTTCAGTGTTAAACAGTATTAATTTGAGGACGGTAAATGCTTGGTTCTCCCCGTTATTAGTCAGAAGGAGACCAGCAGCGAGTGGGGAACTTTGGTTGTTAACCAATAACAGTAGCATGTTTGACTGCCCTCACCCTGAAATTGCACTTTTTGTAATGGTTAACTGCTCTTTTGTAACTCACAGCAGGGGGGTAATTTTCCCATCAAAGGAGCTAAGATAAAAGGAAAGAAAATTCTTTCCATCCCGAGTGTTAAAAACCCATTTGAAAAGACAATCATTACTGTTCACTACAAAAATTCAGGTAGGAAGGTCTAGTGCATTTTTAGACTTGAGGCTATCGGCGGGAGAAAGAGGTTGTTAAAGAAATTGCATTTGAATTGAAGGCACTTCTGTTTTACTTTCTCTCGGGTTTTACGGCTTCTTGTCCCCAGGGTGTGCCAGAGCGCGGTGTGGGCGCTGCGCCGCCAGGGCAGCTCCGCCGCCGGCCCGGCCCTTGTGGGAACGGGCGGCGGTCGGGCAGGAGGAGGCAGAGCGGGGATTTCCCTGTCTCCCTCGTTCGGATCCCGTTCCCTCTTCCCCCGCGGCCCCCTCTGCCCTCCTCTAGGCATGCCGCCCCTCTCCCTCCTTCCCGCAGTGGCTCCGGGCCGGGCAGGCTCCCGGCAGGCTGCCCGGCGGGGAGGCCGAGCACACGCCGGGTCAAGCTTCCCGAGGAAAGCAGGGCGGCAGGGCTTCCCGTCATGGCAGAGGGAGGAGAGAGCCGGAGGATGAAGGCCCCCGAGGCTGCGGTCCCCGGCAGTCCGTGTCCCGGCTGTGCCGGCCCGAGTGTTCCGCCTGGGTTGGCGTTTACCACACCCCGCTCCCGCGGCGCCCGGAGCACCGCGCTGGTTGCCGGGGAGGAGCCGCTGTGTACAGGCTGCGCAGAGCCGTGCCAGGCCCCGGCGGGCCGCGATCGCTCCCGGGAGGTGTGCCCGTGTGCCCGGCGTGGGCGGCGTCAGGGCCAGAGGGGTTCCCCGGCAGCAGCTCTCCCGAGCAGACAGGTGCGGGCGGCTGGGGCGGCGCAGGACGCACGGAGCCAGCAGCATGGCCAGCCCTGGCACCAAGGCGTCGTGGCTCTCGCAGCCGAGCGTGAAGAGCGTGCTGGTGTATCGCAACGGGGACCCTTTCTTCCCGGGGCGCCGCATTGTCATCCACGAGAAGAAAGTGTCCAACTTTGATGTGTTCCTGAAAGAGGTGACGGGCGGGGTGCAGGCGCCCTTTGGAGCGGTGCGAAACATCTATACCCCCCGGGGTGGGCATCGTGTCCGGCAGCTGGACGAGCTCCAGAGCGGGGAGCAGTACGTGGCTGGTGGCAGGGAGGCCTTCAAGAAGCTCAAGTGAGTGGCTGAATGTAAGATTTATAGAGAAATGAATATCAGCATTTGGGGTTTGGCACGGTGGCAGTGCTTCAGACCACCCCTCACCCTGTCCCTTTTATTTATTAGTCATTGCTTAGAAGCTGTGACCCAGGGCAAAAGGAAAAAATCTTTAGAGGTGAGCTCCAGAAAGGGTATTCGTACCATGAGTCACACAGTGACAACTCCTTGACATGACGGTAGAAAAGGAGAAACAGCTCCTTAACCCGAAGGACATGCGGGAATGACATGTTGTTGTGATATCTGTGCTTAGCTGAAGGGCCAGTATCAGTATTTGTGCTCAGGGGTAACGTGGTGAAAGCAGTAAAAAGTGGAGTGTTGACATTCCTGCCACGAAGTTGATGAGCTTGGGAATTCAATACCCAATACTTCCTTTCTTGTTTATTTTTTAAAATTCTAAGGTATTCTACCCACTTGTCTGTGTCTCCATCACTTCTGTTCATTTTGGATACATATATAGCCTTTTAATGCTTCTCCTGTTATTTAAAATACGACCGTTTACATTCTTTTTCCTGTCTGGACCCCAAGAATTAAGCTGCCAGTTTGTCTGTTTTCTAGTGAGTCACTGGGGGAATAATGTGAAGGAGGTCTGGGCTTTTAGGTGTGTTTCCAGAGTGGCTCTGCATGTGATCAGTAACTGTTCTTAATTCTGTCAGTGAATGTCATGGTCTCAATTGACCATGCTATCATTTGCTTTGTCTTTGTGGGCATTTTTCCTACAGATGAATTTATGGAAATGAATCTCAAAATTAACATCCCCTTTCCAGAGATGTTTGAGAATTCATATCATCAACTACCACCTTTACAGTGTCTTCCTCATCTTGGTTCTGTAGAGTTGAGGACATTATATTTTTCAGAAGAGCTCATTAGTGGCTCATTATGTTTCAGGACAAAACTCTTTGTGTAATGAACAGGATCTCTATCATCATCCTTACTATTTCTGTCACTAGCTGCTTCTAAAGATTTATTAAAGCTTCTTGCACTTCAGTAGGAAAGCCAGAGAGAAAGATGTATGACAGGCTAAATATAAGCCCTTTTCCAATAGTACTTACTCTTTTCTGTGTCAAATGCAGTGCTCAACTCTAAGAGAGATCTACCATTACTTTTTCATATTAAATCCTGTGATTCTGTGGATGGCTTAAAATTGTTAAGTTATCAGCACATCATGAAACACTTCCCTAAATGTGTTTTGTGTTGATAGGCTACAAATAAGTAAGTGTTTGGCATTAGCATGCACTGTTTAGAGAATTGAGCACTCTGGATTTATGTGGGGAAAAGTATTTCTTTTGGTCAGGCCACACTATATGGGTCAGAGTTTTATGGTGAGACTTTTTCAGACTTTTATGGTTGCAACATGCAACAAGGTATCTAGTTATTTGAGGCCAATAAAGATAATACCAAAAGAAAAGCTAACCTAAGGGACTGGGTAAAAACAGGCTGTTTGATATATCCCTTGATATTATGTCCTAGTCCTGTGCTGTAGAGAGGATAAATGGGATGGCTTGAGATCCCTTCCATTTCTGTATTCAGAATTGGAGTTGTTCTCTTACTAGTATTTGCTTACATAGTGCTGGAAATGTTGGCAGTGCTTTTCTGAGCATTGAAAAGAAACTGAAGGGCTTAATGTTGTAGTTGTTCTTAATTGGGTTGTAGACAGAATGGTAATTAGGGAGACATCTTAGACAGAAAAGTCAGAGGAGAGGAAGGGTTACTTGGAAGGAACAGTTTTCTGGAAGGAAGTGAGAAAATTAAAGAAAAATGTGTATGTTTGTGTAATGTGTCACAGGTAAACAGTTACAGTGTGACAGACCAAAGCATCTGCCTTAAGGGATCTGAATCTGATCTGATGGCAGCAAGAAGTTTGATTAAAAAAAAAATAATCTATTTCTTTTTATTTTCCCCCAGTGATTCTTATTGGCTGTATTAATTGCTATTACAGACTATGCAGGGCTGAACTTTGAAATGGAGGCTTGTGGCACTGATGTGTAGGAGCTGTGGTAGTGTAATGGAGAAAGTATCCAAGGAGTAGCAGAAGTTGAAAGTATCATTGTTCAGCTTCAAGCAGTGCATTTGTTTCTTCTCAGGTGCCTTACACTGAGAAGTGAATTTCTTTCTTTCCTGTTTACGGTAAATTCAAGAATAAACTGTGCTCACCTTTAACACATGAGCAAAACCGTAACTCTTAACATTTTGAGGTTGATAGTTCTGAGGGCATATATTCTAGATAAACTGCTGAATATTTTTTCAAATTAAAAAAAAAATCAGTATTTAGAAATTCTGATTTTAGAAAAAAAATGTAGGAGTTTTCTTCAATGGAGGAATTTTTAGTCAATGTTGGCAATTTTTGTAACATATAACAAGTTTTCCAGCTTGTTTTGTCATTTAATGGTGTCCTAAGTTAACACACTCATTTTTGTTGTATATGTGGTAAGGTGTGTTGTTGGTATATTGGAGTTGTTGCAGTGGTGAGTGAGAATGCACATATAGGCTGCACCCCTGTGGAGTTCTTCCCCAGCTCTCAGCTCTCTGAAAGAAGACTGTCTATGCTGAGCTGGTTTCGATTTTTAGCTTTTTTTCAGCATGCTACTCCTCCATCCTCCTCCCTTTGCCCATTGTATCTGTGCTCATTCATCAATGGTAGATTGTCCTCTTTCCAGCTGTGTCTTTCTAAATAATGCTGTAGTTTCAGTGCTGGCTTGGCTAGCCATGGGTTGGAAGCATTTCTGCTTTCTTAGTAAGTGGGAATTAATTTGTAAAATGTTTGATTTGAGGGTTTATTTGAGTGTCATTATCAAAAAAAAAAAAAAAAAAAAAAAAAAAAAAAAAAAAAAAAGCCTTTGCTCTTATTTAGAACTTTGCAGATTTTCAGGCCCTTGAAATTTGATGAATGAATGTCCAGACTTCTGCACAGTGAATTTAAGCCTTTGACTATGTATTTGCTTTGCTTTGTCACTTTTCTTAGTTTTTGGTGAAGTAATTCACAGGTGCTTTGAAAACAAGAATCACAGTCAGCAGATATTGGAACCATTTTGCCTGAGGCACTTATTTCTTTTCAGTCTTGCAGGCTGTAATATTTCTTGGTTTTGGTCTAAAGAGAACTTGTTCCTTTTTGTACCGAGAGCTGGGATCAGTTGTTATTATTATTTGTTTCTCAACATGAGGCTTGTAAAAATGTTATCCTATGTTGCTACACTTACCTTTTTCAAAGCATTGGCATGCACTTTCAAGCATGGTGTGGCAGTTTTGCTGTGTCTTACTGTCCCCTCTCAAGGAAGCCTTGAAATCCCTGTGACCATTCTGTGTACCCTGATAAATGATTGCTATTCCTTCAAAGAAAGGATGATGGGTTTTTTTTCCTTTTTTTTTTCCTTTTTCCTGCTTTTGCACCTTCATTCAATTCCCATGAATTCTTAACTTTGGCCAAGTACGAAAGTTTCTTCTGGCAAATTAATCTAACCCCAGTCATTAACTACAGAGAATGATATAACTGAAGGACTGCAGATGTTGTGAGATCTGAGGCGTTATGGTGAGCTTGCACTGGTGCTTGGCTTTAGGTGTACCTGACTTCTCAAATAAGGTCTTCTAGTCTGAAACTCCTGGTAAAGCACCTTCCCACTGGAAGTGAGATCAGGGAACATCACAAGAAGAACATAATATTGTCCAGATAGATGTATATTTTTTTGCTTGTCCAGTTGAGGCATGTATTTTACCCATAAAACTATTATGAAGCTATTATTTGTTCATCTAGCCACGAGAAATGAGTGTTCAGATGTGTCCACATTCTATTGAAACCCAAATGATATAGATCCTTTTAAACTTTAGCTGATGCCCTGAGTTAAACTTGGGTGTGCAGGCAAGCCTTCAATCTATCAGAGACTTACTGTGAGAGACTAAGAGGCACGATGATGACTTTGAAAACTCTGGTAAGGTGATACTGTGCTGAGAATTATTGATCCACCTGACGGCTGTATATGAGCTTCTTTCTGACAAGGGGGTTATTGATGGTCTGTTCTAATCACTAGAGACTTGAAGGTAGGTGGTTGGTTCTCCCCTGTCTTTTATATTAGCCCAGAGGGCTAGCCTGAAGATTTAATATTAAGTATTAGTTAATAATTACTTACTTTTTCTATTATTTTGAAGCATAACAAGTTTTAAAACCTTCATGTGTGGAAAAAAAGTGTGGGATATTGGTATTATGTAAGTTAGATGATCTTGTAAGTAATCAAACCCGTTTTCTTTCCACAGCTATTTGGACATTGGAGAAACAAAGAAAAAACCTGCTGAAGTCAATAATGAGGTAGGATTGCTGAAATATTGAAGAAATAAACCTGCAGTATATGTTAGTGACATGCCTGCATTTAAGCCGGATTTTTTAATATATATTTATTTTATTTAATTTTATAATAATACAGTTATTATACTAATATTATGGTTATTATTACTAATATTAATTATATAGTTATTACTAATAATAACTTTATTATATATGTGCAGTACCATTCTGCACATATTTCTTCAGTGATTATTATTCTGGTTACTCTGATCAAGTGTCCTAGGTTGATAAGGAAGTGAGTTTTTTGATATATTTTTGATGATATATTGACTGTCTTTTGCTCAGCTTTCTAAATTGCCTCATCCAGTTAAAAACTCAGTAAGAAAGAAGATCTCCCATTGTCTTCCTTGAATCTGGTCATAAACCTAAGGGAGATTTGTACTTGCAGAAAAAAATGGTAAGAATGAAAATTTTGGGAGTTTTGGACCAGCAAATTTTCTTCAAAACTTGGTATTTCCTCTGAAGAAGAGACATTTTTGTTTGAAAAATGCCAGTGTAAACTTTTAACTAGTTCTAGTCCATAATTTGCCAAGCTCGGTTGTTTCTCTTTATCAGTGCTTATGCTGTAGTTGGAGGAGATAACTGCAAGCTTCAAAAAGCATCATGAGGATTTGTGTGAGATGTGTGGCTCTGCATTATTTTTACTGTTTTATTGTGTATAGGAGGTAGCAGTGACTCCCAACAAACATTTGCCTCACAAGAATCATCAGCTCACTTGTTTGTCAATTTTTTTTGCCTTGTGTTCTTGGGCCACATTTTCAACAATTCAGTGGTTTGTATAGCAGGTATCTTCAGACAATAGGACACTAGAAGATCCTCAAAATTGCCCTAATGACCTTTAGTGTGATACTCAGATACTTCTCATTCAGAAGCTATGTAATACAACAATTTTTTAATTTAGCATAACTTGTCACCTGTATTTTTTTTGAATGGGCTTACTGAACAGGAAGATCAAATTCAAGTTGAAGATTTGATATGCTGCTGCTACAGCTACCCTGTAAATTTATTCTTAGTTGGATACTTATCAGTACAACTACAGCCTTGCTTTTTAAAGGCTGTTTTAAGGCTGATTATTTTGCTGCAAATCCGTAGAAGATTTTTGATATAACAGAAAGTCCGTGCAGTTGTAGAAGTAGTTGTAGAAGTTGTGAGTTTTTTTACTTACAGTTGCATGTTTGATAAAAGAGGCTTTTATTATTTTGTCTGGAATCGGTGTTCATTGTATATTATCTCAACACTTTCAGCCATGTCTTGGGGCTTTGAAGTAATCCAGTATAAAACCCTCCTATTATCTCAGCTTTCTTCTTCATATTTGACTTATGTTTGCAATCTCCACTGTCTCCCTGTGGAGAACTTAAATCCCTGTGCTGAATTTAACTTAAACATGATTGATTTATTTGGGGAGAGGAGTCATAAAAATGAGATGAAATATATTGGTAGTCTACAGATTTTTATCTGGGCTTATGAATAACACAGTTGTCTTTATGTCCTAATAATTTAATCTTGGGAGTGAACCTTCAGGGGGCTAGTAACAGAAGCTTAAATGCCTAAATTAGTTTTTAAAATGATATGAGGCATTAAGTCCCAAGTTACTTTTTTTTTTCAGATGTTCACTTAGAAATCAAAACCCTAGATTTGTTGTAGGACCAAGAGAGGCAGAATTATTCCTATCATGCTTAAGTATAAGGGTATAAAATCTGATTCCTTCAAGCACATGTAATTTGGCATTTTGTCCATTAAAACAATTGCAAATATCTGATTCTGGTTAGTGTTCAGGGAGTCAAAATGAAGAAAACTTTATGCAGCAGCTGTACACTGTGTATTTGTATGCAGCTGTGTGTTTTCTTTTGTGTTAGTTAAACTGCCAAATTCTTGACATCTGCTTTTGGGAGCACTTTAGTGTTGTTCTTGCAAGGCAACATCTCCATTACTTTAAATTTGCAAACTAGAAAATGTGTGTCAAACTAGCATTAAGCAAGAAAAAATTTATGTTCAAGATATGGTGTAAATCCTCTGGCAGTGCCATCATGCTGTAATACAGCATCTCAAAATTTTAATGATTGTATTACTGGTAGGCAAAATAGTAAAAATATTTCATCCTGACCCAAGCTAAAGCTTTGTTGCAAACTCTTTCTCAGGTGTGTTTCCATCCATTACTTCTTTGGGCAGCTGAGCTTCTTGTTTTTCAAGAGAGATCCCTTTTGTACCAAAGCTGATGTGCAAGTCCAAATGCACGTTAAATGATGTGCTTGAGGAATCTAACAATTGATCTCTTGAGAAAATACAGACCAACAGAGTTACCAGTTGTTTATTATAAGCTTAATTGTTTTTAAAAGGTACCGAATGTTATTTTCCAATTATATGGGGAAAGTCTGAACATTTGTAATTCTCTAGGCACTCTTTGTTCTAAATGGTCTCTCCCTCTGCCCTCAAAAAGATGAATTTTACTTGCCATTGGTGCTGAAGAAGAATCAACTGAGCTTTCATATTTGCAAATCCTGTAGGCAGCTATTTATCTCTTTGCTTCACAAAAATATGTTCAGCTGGAGCCTCCTTTCTTCTTAGACTTCTTAGGATCAACTACTCTTTGAACACACTGCAGTAGATGAACTTTGCCCTGTAGTACTGTAACAGCAAAGAATTACAGGTACCCAAGAAAAGCAGAAGTATTTTGATATTGAAGAACCAGTCTCTCGCAGCTGAGAGAAAAAGGGAAGGTTATACTGTCTGTATGAAGCAGCATCTGTTATCAGAAGGCCATAGAAGGCCTGCAGTAAGCTACTCTACTGTTGATACACTCGCCCTTGGTTGATCTTAGGTAGTAAGAACATTGCATTTTTTTGTCTGCACTTCACTTTTTCTCCTGGACTTCTAGGACAAGGTCACAACTTGTCACATTTTCAACTGACACAACTATGTCACATTTTCCCAGTTTTCCAAATTACTTTTTCACTGTTTTACCTTATTTTATTGTTTCGTAACTCCTTTTTGATTGCACTTGTTTTATAATTTGGTTTAGGTGTGGTCACATTTATAGGAGTACTTGTTGAATGGAATAATCAATGTTTTTATGAATGATTCTTCAGATTAGTAAAGATTCCTCAAAGCTATCCTACATGTATGACCTGCATATTTGTATCTGTATACACCTCCAGAACATCTCTCCCAGTGAAAACACTTATTAATCACAAGGATTTGAGTGAATGTCTAAACATTTTTATAATTTTAAATTTCTTCTTCTGATCCAGTGCCTACCAGTTCTCACATTGGTAACATTCTGGAAGACACAGACATGGGCTAGGACATGGAGTAGAGTTCTTTTGCTTTCTAGGGAGCTTCACAGAACAGGTTTGTGCCTGTAATGAAGTGTGACTGCAGAGTGAAAATGTGACTGGCAGAATGTCTTCTACCAGTGGTCTCCAGGTACAGCCCATCACTCAGCAGCTGCTGGGGGGTGTTGTGGACCAGGCATAGCTGATTGGCAAATCTCAGTGTAGGCCAGTTGGCCACTGTGTTCTTGGTGAGGTCCTGGGACAGGTCCTGGTCCCTGTTGTCCAATGCTGACAGAAGAGGCAAGCACCATGACAGGGGAGCGTGAGGTAGAAAATACAATGGTTGAGACTTGGTAGGTATGAACTTAGCACTAAAATTTTACCCTAAAGCATTTAAGATGATGCTATAAAATTATTTTGAAGACTTGCAAATCCTGTGTTTCTCTCTGTTCTTCCATATTTCAAAATTAAATTATTCTAGTATCATTTATGGCAATCATTTTTCCTTATCCTTTTTCACTTGACAAAGTCACCACTCATCTCTCAGCAGTAGTATGATTGCACTTATCTGTAAAAATTACATTTTGGAAGTCTATGTTGTCTTGGTTTCACAAATTATTTTGATATATTCATGCTGGATATATCTTGTATCTAACTTGATGTGAGTCATTTGTTTTCAAGTACCTTCTCATGAAAAATCACAGTAGTTATAATTATTTTTTATTCCAAAACTACTGTTTATCATGTTTGACAACATACATGTTTAATCATAAGGAAAATCTTGTCATTTTTCAATTATTGGGCTCTTGATTCACTTTAACATCTAACTGTCAGCTAGAAATGGCTCATGGATATTTTCTCTGTACAAAAGATAGTTTTGTAAAAGGGACTAAATCGATACTAGAAATTATCCCAGGCTGTGCAAATTACAGCTTTTTGATGTCAAAACAATGTAACTACATAAGATATTCTTTCCTAAGGATTAAGAAAACTCAAACATTATTTGTGCTACCCAAAATTGCTAAACACAAAATACTGTTTGGCTGGTAACAAGTCGTGTATAAAGGTCCACTTCATATTCCTTTGCCCGAATGCAAAACTATAGGTTATGGGTTGGATATTAGGCAAAAGATTTTTATGGAAAGAGTGATTAAGTTCTGCAATGGTCTGCCCAGGCAAATGGTGGAGTCACCATCCCTGGATGTGTTTATAAAAAGACTGGATGTGGCATTTGGTGCCATGGATTAGTTGAGGTGTTGGGGCATGGGTTGGACTTGATGATCTTGAAGGTCTCTTCCAACCTAGTGATTCTGTGAATTCTGTAAACCCTCTTGCTACTCCATATTTGACCCATTTGATTTCTTCTACTGCTGGTATCACAGACTGGGCAAGAATTTTTTTATTTTCTCATGCTAAATTAATTAGTAATTCTGCTGTAAGCATATTTTAAAGAATAAGACTATTAAAATGTGAGGTTTAAAAAAATGTGATATATATCTTTAATTTCCTGGGCAACATCTTTAATAGTTAAATATGATATGCCATTGTTTGGTATTTAGTATCCTGGTAACATAATTAGCACAACAAGACATACAAAACAAATACCCTTCCTATGTGTTCACAGCCTAATACCAGGAGGAATTATTAGAAGAAGATATCCAGTTAGAAGATGTGCCTTTTTTTCCCTTATTTGAACTATGGATGTATAAAACTTCTCTGTATATACTTCTGTATTACCTGAACTGTGCAGTTTCAAGTATTTTGACTAGCAGCTGGCTTACAAATGGATTTATTGAATTTTTGAGTAGCAGAAAGACTTTGGTTCATGCTACTGGAGAATTCCATGGTCTGTATTGAGTTTGATCTGAAACTTGAAAGTTATTCTCTTCCTTGATTAGGACCTGCCTTGTTCAGTAGAGTAGCCAGTCTTCCTGGCCTGTAAGGAGGCCAGGAGCAAGTGAAGAGGTGGCAATACTGAAGCTTTTAATGAGGCATGTGTTAGTCTCATTAATAATTTGTTGCTGTATATTAAATTGACTTACTTGAAACATTAATAGCTTTCACCTTTGATTAAAAATGGTGAAGAAAAAACAAAGATTTCTGCAGGGGTGGGGGTTTGTTCTGTTCTTCAGCTGTTTGACTGTTCCTAGCTTCAGGTCCTTCTGATGAGCCATAAAGGCCAGAGACTTCCTTTTGATTTAATTAGTGTAAGGAATTTGGGGAAAAGACACAAAATGTGAGAGGCCAGACTAGCCAGAATCATCACTATCATGTCAGTGTCACAAATTAATATCAGGATCTATTTTGCTTGAATAAACTCTGTTATTGATGCCATCATTGTGTGTGTTGTAAGCAGTGTGAGTACAGCATCATGCAACTCAGAGAAGAAATGGGAGCTATTCTTGGGATTCAGAGGGACCACAGATGTGATCTATTTTGGAGCATTGCACAGGCTGTGTTCTGGGCAGATAAGGCCATGCTATTGTTTGACTTATCCCCGCTGAATATTTGGCTGTCCCAAAGTCATGGCAGATCCAGACTGAATTTTTTTTTTCCCCAGGGCTTAAATAGCTGAGGTGAGATGTACAGAGAATATAAACTCCATTTCATTTACTGTGCCTGAAAAGGAGGGCAATTTTCCTCAGAGGTGAATGGGTTGGCTTTAAACACTCTGGGAATTTTGTAGGAGCTTTGCAGTCTAGAAGGCTCCCTTAGTCACTACACAACTGTCTGCTGTGGAATAGTTCATTTCCAGCTCATCCATGTTTTATGTGTGCTGAGAAGTTTGTGTGCAGCTGTGGTCTTGTGGCCTATTGCTCAATTAATAGCAGTTTGAGCGTTGCTTTATATCCACACCAGTAGAAAGGTTTGTAGTTTCTGGCTCAAGGCTGGTTTGTACTATCCAGAGCACCATCTAGCAGTGCAAAGTAGCCAGGGAAGTGTGGATTATCCAGGTTAGCTACTGCATAGGATGACTGAAATGGTTTTGTACTAGCCAAACTCCTCAGTGAGTTTGACTCTGAAACTTGAGTCAATGTGTAAAAAATGTCCATTAAAAAAAGTCATGTTTCTATGAAAAGATAGCATGTTTCCTGTGTTGTAATAGCTTTAGAAAACTTATTGTTCTAGCTAGGTTTTGATCACTGAACCTTGAACATTCCTTTCTTTTACATCACAGGGTGGTGATGGTGTGTATCCGTGGGGTTTTGGTTCTTTTGACCCCAGTTCTACCTCAGGGAGATGTAAATATTTGTTCTCAATTTTCCTGGTCACATTGATTAACAAACAGGCCATTGTAACAAACTGGCAAGGCCATGGCTCATTGCATGAGCTGATAAATTTGGAATGTGACACTGTGTTGAAATATTTAAGCTTTGAAAGGTTAGTTATAAAGTGACGTGAGTAATGACTGAGATGTTCATAGCACCCAGGACTACATTGGTAGCAATAAGAAAGGCCAGCTTTTAAGCCTGCACAAATCAAAGGAGCACAGAGCATCTGGTTTAGACACATTACATTTTTTGATTCTTGCTTTGTTGCTGTCCAGTGTGGCTTTGTAAATACATGTTATCCTGCAAATCATGCAGCTGTTCAATTGCCCCCTTTGATGGGGGGACATTTCTGGTAAGGAAAGGAAATAAATCAGTTAGTGGTACCATTTCTTAGCTATGAGTAACTGGTGTATGTATTCATGGCAGCACTGTGAAAGTGCTGCCAGATGCCTGTATTTAGCATATATCTAATTAATTACCACTGAAAGGAAAAGTAAAGATAAGAACAGCACATTTCTATTTCTATTTCTATGAACCTATCCTCAAGTGCATAAAAATCACCTTTTTAGAAACTGAGTATGTAGACTGGTGTGTTCAGAGGCCAGTTAAAATACTAATTCATTAACTGCATCCTTTTCTTATATACAAGGGTTGACTCTGTGAAGTGTCATGTGCCTCTTGCAAGTCCCAAGTAGCCAAGAGGAGATTGGGTAGTTTTCAGAGTTTTCAGAGTCTGTCCCACTTTCCAGTCTACATTTTTATAATAAAGTGTTGAGAGGTATAGTGCAGCATTCATAGAAGCAAAAACTCTATGCATGGGGATCAGCAAATAGGTTCACACCAACCAAAACAAATAAACTTAATTTTGATACATCTTCATGTTAGAGATTATTGTTTATTATCTTTTACTGGTTAGCATGTGTCTGAAGAAAGAAGTGAAAACCATTAATTTTTATCTATATACTTCAAACCAATATGTGCCAATATGCTCAGAGTCCTTACATGAATAGCCATTCTCAATGATGATTTCCATTTAATGCCATATGTGTGACATTCTTTCCCAATGTCACACTTCTTGGAGTTAGAAAGATAGCATAAGCAAACCTATTCATAGTGTTCTAAAAAGGAGTGACATAGTTTTAGTTATTTAATGAGTTTGACTCTGCATCTTTTGTCATTGTGTATAAAAACGCCTGTAAAAAAAATGTAATGTTATCTATGAAACAGATCTTTCCTGTGCTGTAGTGGCTTTAGAAAACTTACTGTTGTAATTTGTTTTCATGTAGTGAGCTGAACATAAACATAAAAGAATTTTTAAAATGAAAATTGTATTAAAGTGTGTATATATTTATGCATACACACATATTATATTCAAATGTACTTGTGGATATGCACAGGCTAATTCAAAATGGTTTTCCTATAAAAATATGACAGTATGCCTGAGGTAATGGTTTGGCTGCTGATCATTTAGCTTTGTTTTTGGTTTTTTTTCCAACAGTCAGCACTGGAAGATGTAAGTACCAAAAGTAGATTGAGCAATGTGTTGTATGTGTTTCTTAAGTATTGTGTTTGTATTTGTTAAATTTTGTAAATATTTAGAAAATAGCTATGTTTAGCATATAAGTGAAAAATATATAGGATGTTGTTTAAAACAGCTGTGAGGGCATGGATTTTATCTTGCTTCAGTTGGATGCTGATGTGCTGTGTGTTTGTATTTACAAAAGGCTGTTAGGAGACACTCAGAGCTAATCACAAGTTCAACCCCAGGGTGTTATGACCAAAGAGGAAAGCTGAACTCCCAAGAGACTTTGTAAAAAGTGTTCTGAGATTCAAGTTCTCTTAAGTAAGGAAAATCCATTCTGCTGTAAGAGGCTCTGTGTGAAATACCTTCTGTTTAAAGAAGAGAAAAATAAAAATTATAGTGGTTTTCAGTGTCTGTGATCCTATGGTGTATTTCCAACTGTGTAACTCTTGTTGCCTTGAAAATTGTCATTGGATTGATTGCTTCCAGCTTACATAGAGTTTTCTCTGAGTTCCTCCTTCCTCCCCTGGACACTTTGTGCTGCTGTGTGTTGTCATGTAATACCTCAGATAAGTATCTCATCACAAATTATGAATTGTTGGCAATGTTTGTCAGTAGGAAATGGAAGCTGCCCTTAAATGAGTCTTTTCAAACAAACTGAAAATGTACAAAATTTAAAGATAAAATCATAATGGGGTCAGACCACTGATTAATGCAAATCTGCTTGCAGTTGCTGACGTAAATAGGAAAATGCTGATGTACATAATCAGAGAATGTGGCTGTTGAAATGAAAAGAAAATAAAGGGGTTAGGGGGCTAGTGATGCTGGTCTCTTAATGTAAGCACAAACTTTCACTCAGGACCACTTTGTTGTTAATATGTAACACTGCAGTGCCAGAGGGGTCAGGATATTCCAGACACTGCAACAATGTGGTGCCTCCTACAAACATAATAGGAGCAGAACTATGTATTCTTTAATTAACCCCTGGACCCAGGTCTTCCACTGGCATGGTTTTGTGGAACTCCATATACCTCAAAGGAAATAAATTGATTTACTGTGGCTGAGCACTTGGTCTTTTATTAATGTATACTTCTGTGTTTTGAAGTTGGGTGCTGTGCTTTTCATGACCATAAATAGTTTAACATTGATCAGACAGAAGTTATCCTAAACTCTACAAACAGAACAGTAAGATTAATGAAAAGAAACGTGTATAGTATAGGAACTAGTGGGTTTTTTCTTACCTTTTTTTTTCCTTTCTTAATCACAGTGCAGTGTGATCTTTATAAAATATGACTTCAGAGCATACTTCCTTGCACTGATTTTTGTAGTTTCACTTTATCACATGTATTATTGCACTTAAATATTATCTTCATTTTTTTTTTTTAATACAGAAAAACATGTGAGAGGCAAGACCAGCCTGATTTAAACAGGCTTAGGTAAACAATGCAAGTTTATATATTGTTCCAGTTTAGGCCATGCTTAGGTAGAGCAGTCTTGGCCCAAGCTGGTCCCATGTTATAATCCCCCGCAGTTTGTTTGTTTAATAACAAGCCTAAACTTGTAAGGGGCAGAAGGCTGCCAGAAATACTAATGATCTTCAGAGAGCAACATAAAAGACAAACTTCCAAGTTGATGCTTCAGTATCTACTAGGGGCAGAAATACAATCCTTCAAACAATAAATGGGCTCGAAACATCTGTCAGATTATTGTTTTCTCCAGGGCCTGGTGAGTGGACTCTGTGCAATCACATGATGGCCTTCTGAGTAGCCTACACCAAAATTAATGGTTTCATCAGCCTGCAGGAGCAACCAAGTGGTAGGACACACCTAGGGCTATCCTAAAGGGCTTCTTTATGCTTAGTGAATGCTTTCTAACTATTCCAGTGAAGTGTGGAGCATTGGAACCTGAGTGTTGCAGACTGCATCAGAGAACTTAATTTGATGGGCTGTTTGGAGAGACTGTGGGAGAGCTTGAGCAGCATAAGTGAGCATCAGGAATGGATGTGGAATCAACTTTTAGAAAAAGTGATTATAATTTTACTGTTTATGTATTGGATATTTTATAGGGGATTATCCTGGCAACCTACCAGCTACAAAGAAAGGTGTAAGGGCATCCAAGGTTCAGTGTTTGGAGTCTAAACATTAGGACCTGACAATATGGAAGTAAATCAGTATTGTCTTAGCTTCCAGTAGCATAACCTTTAGAAAGTTACTTTTTTCCCTGTGTATTCTGAAGCTCTTTATTAGATTGCTTACACTGAGAAAATAACCCTTTAATGGCTGACAGCAACAACAGAAATGTTTTCAGATGTTGCAGTTTATTTTCGTTTTTTTCCAATAAATATTCATTTCAAATTTTAGTGACATAAATGACCAGTTATGCTCTGAAGAATATGCTTCTAATGTTTCTGCAAGAATGGCTGAGCTCCTAAGTTACTTTGCAGTTCTCAAGAAATGTCTTTGCCTCCCCTAATGAGGTATATGATAGCAACCTCTTACTCTCTGTCCAAGCCTGTAGTAGTAGGTGTGAATCTTTCACCTGATTCAGATCATACTGGAATTGACAGCAAGACTGTGAACTGCAATTACCTTAGGCATTAGTGTATGTACTGTCTAGTACAAAATTTCTCTTTGTATGAGGCCAAAACAAACATGCATCTACAAAATAGGTCTGAGTAAACGCAAATGGCTTGTGAATTGCTTGCTTAAAGGGAAGGTCCCCAGCCATGCCAGAAGTCTGCTTATCTTCCTTGCTGTGTCTTCTCTTGTAGATGTTTCTGGCCAAAATATCTCTTTGCACTGACCTTCAAATCACCATGACCTTCTAGGGCTGATTGCTCCTGTTTAGTCTTTTTAGTCTATGGAGCTGTGCAAAGGTTGATTCAGCCTTTCTCCATCCATAACCACTATGGGCTTTTATGTCCTCTGAGTCTCTCAAAACACAAATGTTTGACAGGGCTACACAGCTCACAAGGGCCTTTGAAAAACACAACAAGTTGAAGTGAGTTGAATTCAGAATAAATATGCTTCTTTTTCAGCTGACATTGAAGACAGATTTTGTTCAACAGATTTACCTGTTGCTGTATTTTACTTGAAATGATTGTACACTAAGGAGTGCCATTATTTGCTTTTGTTTTGTTGGTTCTCTTTCTCCTAAGTTTGCTATCTCACCTCCAGAATTTATTGTGCTTGGTGCAGAATTTGCTGTGTGACATTCTTTGACCCATATGGGAAATCAGATTTCATTATTTTAATAATAATTTTTAGCCCATTGGGAATATCTACTAGGTTGAGCACCTTTCTTTTCAGTGTATGCCCAAGAAAGAACTGGAAAGCATTCTAGTCATTACTAAATGAGTTTGTGTGAAAGTCCAAGCAAACACTAAAAGTCCTGGAGTTCAGACCATTTCTCACAAATTAAATGAGAAACACTAGTTAAGTTAGCACAGAGTGTGATAAAACTGCAACATACTTGTTATTAGACTGCTTTTCACGGTGACTGGAAAATTGCCAGTTTAAATAAACTTTTTACATCTATTTGAAAGCATGTCTCTCTGCACACCAGCTATTTAATCCTTTAAGCTTCTATGGTATTTTTTTTTAGAAATGTAGTGAACTTGTAAATGCATGTACTATAACTTTTGAATGTTTGTTTGGATTTAACACCTTATTTTGATTTGCTAATGATGAAGAATTAAAAAGAAATCTTCCTAATGATTTTGGAGTTTGGCTTTATCCTTTTCCTTTTTTTAACTTTCTGTTCAGAATAACAACATTAATGCTGATCTCAATGCAGTGTCCCTTCAAAAGAGTATAAGGCATAATTCTGGGAATTAAGTAGCCTATGTATTATTCTGAAGGCTAAAACCTGCAGTTCACCTCACTTTTGAGTCATTGCTCTAAAATGAGCAAAGCATTCAGGAATCTTTATAAATTACTGATGGATTTGTATTAAAGGCCTGTACAAGACCAAAAGTAGTTATTATAATAGCAGAGGGACCTAGCAATGTCATTTATTGTTAAAAAGAGGAGATAGTTAAATTGCCTGCACCATGGTTATGATCAATAAAGACTAAGACAGCAAGAATAGCATTTGGGAGTATTTCTTTGGATCTGTAGAAAACCAGAGATGTCCATACAATTCTGTCTCCTCAGTGCAAACCATGTGTTATGCCATGGTGCACTGTGGTGTGCTGTGGCTGTTACTCGCACACACATAAACCTGCAGCAGTAATTATGTGTGCTATGTACAAGGTGAAGCTGGAATGGAATAAAATGCATTCTTTAAAGACATGCTGTCCCACTTGCTGATGGTGGTCAGGGTAAACTTTTTCTGACTATAAAGACTGTGTAACTTCTAATTCTTCTTTTATTCCTGCAGGTCAAGCCAGTTACTCACAGTAGGATCACTGTGTCAGCACGGTTTCGAAAGCCTCTCCAGGAGCCCTACACTATTTTGTAAGTAGAATTTTCACTTAGTGGGTTGCCATTTCAGGGGTGGTGGTGGTACTATGTTCACTTCAGGTGAGCTTTGTTTAAAATGCTCCTCCAAGTTATTTTACTTTGCTTTATTTCAGCCTGATTGCTAATGGAGACCTTATTAGCCCTGCAGTGCGCCTCCTCATTCCCAGGAAAACACTGAATCACTGGGACCATATTCTTGAAATGGTGACAGGAAAAGTTACCCTCAGAAGTGGAGCTGTTCACAGGTATAAGGAAGCCAAATATTTGCAAGATACATTTTATATTCCTAGATATGTTTCTAAAACTCCATAGGTAGATATAATGGGTCATTCCTATTTTATGGGAAGTTTCACTGTAAGAAAATTAAAATACATCAGAAGGCCACAAGGTGGAAATACGTTGAATCTAAGAAACCTTCACATTTCATTTCTACTGCTATTTAAAAAAAGAATAACTGCAATGTGCTTGAACTGTTATTTTAAAATTAATATTTATTAATTTATTTAATTAGCAGGCCTGTAATAATACAATAATAATGCAACACGTTTAGTACTAATAAATAAGTTATGTGTCATAATGAAATAAATGAGCATGGTAAAGTTGGTGAAGATGTTTGGAATGTGAGGTCCGTGATGTGTGTTACTTTTTAATTTTGATAGTTCTTTAAATTCATTGGGGCAAACAATTTCAAGGAGAATATTATAGATTCTCCGGGGTTTGCATACCTGGGGCAAGACTAGGGTGTGCTTCATATTCAGCCCTCAGCCTCTTAATAAAAGCCACAGCCAAAGTTGTTGTTGGGGTTTGCCAGTTCCAATATCTCAGCTGGTCTGAGTTGTTGAGGTATCCGAGGAATAGAAGGTCACCTCTTGGATAGTTAGGTTTCAGTCCCTTAAGGCTTTTACAATGTAAAATAAGTTACCTAAAATGGCATTTGGTAGTTTTTATAAGTTTTAGAGCAAAATGATAGATGTGATGTCCGTGAGAAACATTGCAGTTTAAGTGGGCTCTCAAGGTGTGCAAGCAAATTACGGACATTCCAGTGTGGCCCCATGCAGAGCACATTACAGAAATCTCTTCATCAGGTGGGAAAGGACCTTTTGTGGAAAATCATTCTTCACAGCCTATGCAATGTCTGATGCTAAGCTTGCAAAATCTTTCTCAAAACAGTGCAGATGAGGTAGTCTTTTAGTTCTGCTTGCTTTCCCGTTTGATAAGGGTGAGAGAAGATTAAGGTAATGCTATTGAATATTATTAGCTCTCATCAAGTTTTTTCTCTCAGCCCTGAACTTCTTTGCTCCTATTAGCTGGCCGCTTAGGATTTTCACTCACAGTAAAGTAAACCTGCATGTGTTGAAGCTTTCTGGGTCTCCTCTAGTGTAATTGAGAAGTGAACAAAGCGAGAAAAGGCATTTACAACATACCAATTCTTTCTGCTCTCACGTTGTTTAGCCATTTAAAAATCTTTCACATTTTAGTCTCATTACTTGGTGTCATTCTGGTGAAACTAAATGTTGTACATGAAAGCATTCAATATATAACTAAGATTCCTTTCGAGATGTTCCCTTCAGTGCTCATCTTTAATCCTTCAAAAATAAGATAATGTACATGACATTTTAAATTATTTAATTTTTTCCTCTTGCTGGTTTTCTATTAACTCAGTTTTCATTTTCTTTTCTTTAAAATATTAGAAATACATATTAAATCCATTAGTAAAGTGATCATAGTTCTCTAGTAAGTTACACATTACTTGCTGGGGTTTACTGAACCTATGTTAGCATTAGGGGAGATCTGGTAAGACCACTGATGCTGGGAAGATGTAATTTCTCATTAAAGAAGCATAAGTGGACTTACAAGAACCTGTATTATGTACAGGGCAGCTTTTGTCTTTTCCATGTCCTATTAAAGGACTTAAAAAGCAGCCAAGTCTCACCCTGATCAGACTAGAAATGCAAGCATGAAATATGAGAGGGGAGATGATGGGAAAGCAGCTTTTCTGCTTTCCAGCTTGTTGATGGGGATGGGGTGCAGCAACCTGATGTGCATCAGCAGCTGGGAATTTGGGGATATTGTCCCAGAAATTGTGTCTTTGCTATCTCCCTTTCTCAGCTGGTATGCTTGCTTTCTTTTGGCTGCCACTTTTTAGCTTGGATTCAGGAGGGAAAGTGGAAGTCCACTGACATGTCACAAGCCAAACTTAGGTCATCCTCAGAAGTGACCACAAGGACATTTTTGTTACATAATACAAGCCAGAGAGACCCCAGCTGGTCTGTGAATGGTTGTGGAAAATGGGTGGGTGAAAATTGTGGCTTAAAAATTCCAAAATTGTAAAAAAGTAGCTTCAGAAATCTGTGTCACAAAACTTGTTTGTACTTGTTAAGTCCATTTAGTTAGTTATTTGTTTGAAGATCCATTTTTAAAAAATACATTTTTGATTTCACTTTCATCTTTAGAGACTGATTATATTTGATTTTGCTATTGTGATTATAATTTTCAGGATGAGAAATGCAATTAAAGATTGCTAGTAATCTGTAACTTTTTTTGAGTTATATTAAACAAACAACTTGTGCACTTTAAATATAACATTAAAGCACAAGCAAAATGAAAGATCAGGTGTGACAGTGTTCATGGGGGTTCTTGGATGAGGGAAGAGACAAGAATGTTGACTCCATGTTTCAGAAGGCTTAATTTATTATTTTATTATATATATATTACATTATAACTATACTAAAAAGAATAGAAGGAAGGGTTTCATCTCAGAAGGCTAGCTAAGCTAAGAATAGAATGGAATGAATAACAAAGGTCTGCATCTCAGACAGAGAGTCCAAGCTAACTGGGCTGTGGTTGGCCATTAATTGTAAACATTCAAGATGGGCCAATCAGAGACACATCTGATGCATTCCACAGCAGCAGATAACCATTGTTTACATTTTGTTGCTGAAACCTCTCAGCTTCTCAGCAGGAAAAAATCCTAAGAAAAGGATTTTCATAAAAAGATGTCTGCAACAATCAGGAACAAAAAAAACCCAATTATTTTGTATGTACCCCTCTATATCTGCAGCCCCATACAAATATATAAACAATTCTTAAGCTGTGGTACACTGATTTGCTGGTTTTTCCCCTGTGAAAAAGTTCCCAAAGTGAAGTGCAATCTAGCAGAACACAGCGAGATTAATTCAGAAATAGGCTTCCTGCTGATTTTCTGATAGCTTGTTTTATTTTCATTGTTTGTGTGTAACTGATGTTGACTCTGTGGTAGTGAAACATAAATTGCTCTTTGAATTGCTGGCATGCCTGTAAAATGTTTGTGCTCTGAAATAAATATAAGTAATACAAACGAGGTGCTCCAGAGTTAGCATACCTCTTCTCAAGGAAGCAGCATTGTGATCCAGATTTAAAACATCTGTAATTCCACCTTTCAAAATTTTCAGTCTTTGCACTTAGAAACGTATTCCCATGTGGCAGGAGACACACAAAAAATTAGGGTACTTTTATGAGTGTAATATAAAACAGACATGGACATGCAGGAACAAGTGCAGCAAAGGGCCACAGAGAGGAAGGGCTTGAAGATAGCTGTAGTGTGAGGAGAGCTGGGAGTCTGCAGCCTGAGGAAGAGAAGGCTCAGGGGGATCTTTTAAATGTGTGTATATACCTGGTGGGAATGAGTGAAGAAGACAGAGCCAGGCTCTTCTCACTGGTGCGCAGTGATAGGACAAGAGGCAATGGGCACAAACTGAGAGAAGGAAATTTCACTTGAACAGAAGAAAAAAAACTTACAGTAATGGTCATCATATATTGGAACATGTTTTCTAGAGAGGCATTGGAGTTTCCATCCTTGCATGTGTTCAAAACATACCTAGAGACAGTCCTGAACAACCTACTCTTGTTGCTCTTGCTCTGCAAGGCATGATTGGACTAGGTGGTCCCCAGATATCTTGTTCAACCTCAGATATTCTGTGATTCCTGGTTCAGTAAAGTACATTAGTTTCTTCTGTGTTTATTCAAGGTTATGCCACCACATGTATGATTTTTATTTCTCTTTCTCTATTAAACTGAAAATTTTTGCACATTATAAGTCAAGGGTGTATTCAAGGTAGCCTCCTGATATTCTTACCCAAATGTTCATAGTATCGTTGTGTGTATTTTTTACATCTCCTTGCATTGTGTTGAAATTTATGTCTATAAATTTGTACATAATATAGCTCTAGTATAGCTAGAAGGCTTCTAGAAAGGCAGTTAAGATAGCCATTCCACATTCCTGCAGTTAAGACTTTAATGAAAGTTGTTATTGCTGACTTTTAAATTAAATATAAATATTGTTGAGTTTTGAGCCATGCTTTGTAGGAAAGAGCTAATTTATTATTGAATGTTCCTCCTTACTCACTGTTTTGACTGTGCTAAAATAAAATCACAAACTTGACAAGGAAATAAATTCCCCCCAGCAGTCCCTGATGCATTTCTTTCTTCTCAAAAAGAAGTAATGGTGAAAATCCACCTGGTGTAATAGACACAGTCATTATTGGTATGTGCCCAAGATGCATGGCTTCTTGTTTTAATGTAGTACTGTATTTCCTGTTGTTCCCATCAGGTTCCAATCTTCTGATCTACACAATGTAACAATATAAATGAAATGTTATTGGCATAGTCTGTGTTGGTGGACAGGGCTTTCAGTCATGAATGCCCTGTTCTTCCCATGTTACTGCATAGTTTCCTGAGCACAGATAGAAATCTGTAGTGGAACTTGGTGGGAGAGGGGGTCAGGAGCTCTTGAAATAGATGCCTTCCAAAGTAACAGGAAAAAGATATTGAAGACCTTAGAAATAAAAAGAAATTTATTTCTTTCCAGAAATTATGTATTTCATCTATTATAGCACTTCATACTTTGTTAGTTTTATATAAGCTGTGATTTAGAAGCTACTTTGCTGTTTTCCTTGGTGGTTTGTTTGTTCTGGTTTTTTTTTTTGGGTTTTGTTTTTTTTGCTTGGTTGTGTTTTTTAAAAAATTTAGTTGCTCATCATTGTATGGTGTGTGCTGTAATTTATTGGGTTTCATATCTGGAAATGCAACATATATTTAGCGAGTTTAGATTAACATAGCTTCCAGTGCTCTTAACGCACCTAACTGATTGTTAAGGTTTATTATAATAAGCATTTTTATATTTTTCAGACTCTACACTGTAGATGGAAAACTTGTTCAGAATGGTTCAGACTTGGAGAATGGGCAAATTTATGTTGCAGTGGGTAGAGAAAAGTTTAAGAAATTGCCATATGGTGATCTGCTGTCCAAAGCTACAATGAGAAGGCCACAGGGGTAAGTTCTAAAGGTGTGTGATGCACTCCTGTGTGTTTGTGTGTGTCAATAGTAAAGTACAAAATTATTATTCCAAGAATGATGCATGAGTTAGTATGGATGCAAAACTTCATTGTCAGCTTCTGAGAAAGCTGAGATAAAAATAACAAAAGCAGAAATGGAAATTCAGGAGACCATCTCATAAGCATTCCCTTGATCATGTATCAAAAATTAGCATCTGAGAAAAATTAATCTAAGCCAAAGTAATCCTAATTTTTTTTTCCTTGGGATACAAATGTGTACAGCTGAATCAGCAGTTTAGGTCTACTCTTGGTTAGTAATGTTTTATGAAAGATATACTCCCTTAAGATTGTTTTATGTTTGGGTCTATTTTTTGTAGGCTAGAACAATCACATAATAGAGTCCTAAACTGGGTGTCCGTAAGGAGAAACTTGTGCTTTTTCTACCTTTGGAAAACATGAGAATTTAGAACCATTTCATTGAAATAAGAGGAAAGAAATGGAAATTGTAAGGAGAATTCACATAGTAATTCACTGGATACTGCTCTGCAAGGTTTTGGTATATTAAAGTATGCATTGTGGGTTAATGCACTTGTTGAATAAGTTAATTATTATGCATTTAAACATAGTCTAGTAAACAGAACAAGTGATGCTTAGTGAAAACACATAGTGAAAAAATCAATTATCTCTGTTGCCATAGTCATCTTGGTGTTATCTGCCTTGATTATAGATACATAGTGTCTGTGCCAGTGACAGGGTGCACAATTCTAATATATGGCTTATTCCTGCAGTTCCAAAACCTCTGTACTACCTCCAAGTGTGGGATCTCGAAAGTCTAAAGGCAGTGTAAGTATCAAATTTCTAATTCAGCTAAAATCTGGCAGATAGAAAACCCCTGTCCTTTGGGTTTTAATTAAATCTGAAGAGAAAAAATTCACAGCCACATGGTGGCATGCTTATAAAAGCCTGATGAATCTGTAGCTATTTGCAGTGTCAATTGGAAGAAATCTGAGAAAATATTGTTGTGTTAAGGGCTGCTTTGTTTTTGATAAAAGCTTCCATAGCAAAGACCAGCTGCTGGGTTGAGGTCTTTCCTATAAACCTGATCATTTGTGTATTTATTTATTTATTCATTCAAATTATATACCTTAAGGAAAAACACAGAACCTTTCACAAAACATTTTGCAGAAAACTGTGTTTCTGAACTCTGAGTCTGGAAAAGGTCCTAAACCAGTTTGCAATTTGATGTTTTATTCTAGGTAACCACTACATAGAGAGCTTGATCCTTCACTGCTTTGTATCCTGTTAAACTATTTATATGTGTACAAAATGAGTCAGGGAACCATTAAGGCTGGAAAAGACCCCCCAAGGTCATCGAGTTCAATCTCTGACCTATCACCACTGTGTCAAGTAAACCATACCACCAAGTGCCATGTCTAGTTGTTTCCTAAACCCTTTCAGGAATGGTGACTCCACTGTTTCTCTGGGCAGCTGCTCCAATGCTTAATCACTGATTCAGTGAAGGAATTCTTCCTTATGTCCAATCTGAACCACCCTGGCATATCTTGAGGCCCTTTCTTCTTGTCCTGTTTCTTGTTGACTGGGAGAAGAGCCTAACCCCACATTGCTACAAGAAGAGTCCTCTGTGAATTTAATTTTAGTTCCAAAACAGAATATAAGTATCTGTTTTCACCAGTTCTTCACAAGTGCAGTTTGCTGTACAAGTACAAGACACAGGGAATCAGACTCACAGTCTGTCATTATAATTGTGGTAGTTGATCATGTCCATTCACTCTTTACAAAACAAAAAAAAACCAAGTCTCTGGAGCCACTAAAAAGAAGTAAGCAATAAAACAAAGAAGTTTGTGTTCACATTCCACTGAATGTGTTACTGCCCTGTGAAGGCTGTCATTCTCCTCCAGCTTCTCTTGACACGGAATAATGCCCAGGTCTCTTTTACACAGACAGTGATTTATTAACCAGTCATATTAATGTGTTTTATCTTGTGGCTGTCCACACATATAGGTGAGAGATAGCTGCATATAATATGCATGCATGCATAGATTCATCTAGCCATTCTTTTCATTAAATGAAACATTATTTTCTTATAATAAATATGTGATTTTTCTCCTGGAAGCTGTTGAAAATTTAATTGGTCAAATCATACAGTAAGTTCATAAGATAGTTATACTTCTCTGGATAATTTAAGGTATCACTTAAATTTACTAATTGTAAATTACTATAGTTCTTTAACACCTGATACCAGTCCTTAATGAAATCTAAGAAAATAAGCTTTTTAATTTGCACCACTGATAATTATGTCCTCTTCTTTTTAGGGAAATGATGGGCAGTCTAAGTCTACAATTGGATCTGGTGACCAGGGAGAACACAGTTCCTCGCCTCAGCTTCCCAAAAGAAAAGACAAAAAAAGCCAGAATCCAGAGAGTTCTGTGTCCAGACGGCACTTTTCTAACCACTCTACAAAAGTAAAACAGACAGTAAAAGCTTCCCCAGGAATCCTTCAGGATAATGGTCAGTACTAAGATAAACACTGTTGTAGCAAAGTGGCTTTTGGTCTTCAGTTAAACCAGTGAAATAGTAGAATAACATGTTTGAATAGTTAGTGAATTGTCCATTTACTCTGTGAAACTGGAATTGCCAAAGTTCTTTCTGCTTAGGAAATGCACCTGTGCATCGCCACTACATTCCTGGCTTCATTTACAGAGCACAAGAGGCATTGTGTGATTTTTATTATATCTTGGAAGTTAAGCTCATATGGTTCTATCATTATGCTTTTGGTAAAGGTAAATAAATATGTTTTCACCATTTTCCCACTTTTCTGCCCTGCAATAAGGTGAAGAAAAGGAGCTAGTGTTCTGCAATGATGTGAAGGACCCCTCGCTGTCCCTGAAAATCCTTGATTACCTGCCTGGTTCTGTGTAAAAAAACAACTAGAGCCTGGGGGAGAAACACAGACAGAAGCTCCAGTTAGCTGGTAGCTAACTAATCCTGCAGCAGAGCTGCTGGGGGCCCTTTCAGAATTTGCCCTTCTCTGTGCTATAACAGCAGTGGCAGCAGTTTGCAAATTTAGGCAAGAACATCCTCTTTGAAAAACTGTTATCTTATAGTGTGATATTCCCTTTCGCCCCATTTCTTTAAAGAGCTAAAATATATATAAAAATTATATATGTATGTATGTATGTATGTGTAGCCATATTTGATAGATAGAACATATATAGGGAAATATTTATGTCTCTGTGTAATGCTGTTGCTACTCCACCTGCTGACAGAATTGGTTGGAAAGCCTCTAAGTTTATTGAAGGACTGTTTGCTTCTCTCTTCAGCTTTTCTATGCTTTGTGGGTCTTGTGTAACTAGGAGAAGCTGTTCAAGGCAGTGGATTGTGTGGTATGACCTCAACTGTACTTTTGGAGAAGCTCTGTGATCCTCTATTTTACCTCCATATATAAAGACCTGTTAGTAAAAGTGGGAATGGACAGTTGTAGCCAGGTGTGGTTCAATCTCTTCTCTGAGGTAAGAAGTAACAGGACAAAAGGAAATGGCCTCAAGTTGCACCAGGGGAGGCATAGATTGGCTATTAGGAAAAATTTCATCACAGAAAGGATTGTAAAACATTGAACCTGCTGTCCAGGGAAGTAGTGGAGTCACTATCCCTGGAAATATTCAAAAATGTAAGGATATCATACTAGAGAACAAGGTTTAACGGTGAACATGGTGGTGGTACTGGGTTGACAGTTAGACTTGATGTTCTTAAAGGTCTTTTCCAACCTTAATTATCCTATGATTCTAACTCTTGAGAAATTAAAGACTTTTCACTCACCTCTGACTCAGTCACTCAGTGCAGTGTGGGAGCTCCACTGTAGTCAGAACTTTGGTAGCTTGTAGGGAAGTGGTTAAAAGAAAAGGTCCTACAATGACTCCGAATGGTCACCTCCTGCAAAGCTGTTGTCTTTTGTGCATTCTGTTCTGGTCACACCTCAAGATGGAGTGACCTGAAGCTCAGGCCAGGCAGGCTGTAGGAGCTGTGAGCCATGCTGCTGTGGGAGTATCCCTTGCCCGGCCAACCCTCATTGTCAAAGACTGCCCTTGACAGAAAGCCAGCATTGCAGAAGTCCTCATTATACCATGGTCCTTGTCATTTATCTATCTCATATAATACAGAGGGAAGCCTTTTATCCCATCCAGATGCATGAAGTGTATAGTAGCTTATCAACAAATCATCAGCATGTTCCACCATCTTGGTTGCTTGGGTATAATAAGATTGATAATTTCATAATAATATGAAAAATTCCTTTGATACCCTCCTTTCTGTCCCAGTGCTATACCATCATGCTAGTCAGGAGTAATCCATCATCAATTTGTGTGTAATCTGGAACAGGAAGACTGGAAAAGCAGTTACAGGGCCCTGAAATAATAGCTTTGGCATTAGTATACCTGTTTTTAGTGACAGCTAACAGTCCAGTAACCAATTTCATTCCTGTCAGTACATGCTTAAAACGATTTGATGTTGAATAAATTTTCTCATTCTTTTCAGGCCACTTTTTGTGGGCCTGAATGATCAAATATTCCCATCAGGCAGTTGCCAAATGTCTCCTTTAAAGATATTGTATCCTAAAGTATTTTCTCCCTATTCTGTGATTGCAAGAGTGTGTGAGGTCCATTGTCTCTCCCCAGGTAAACATAAACAGACTTTGGCAGTACAACAGAAATTACTTTGTTCAATAAAGTCTGGTGCATGGGCCCTATTTCTTTTAAAACTTATGTCTAATTTCTCAGCATCCATTGGGGTGTTTAGTGAAATTTGAGGTCCTCTATCAATCACATATTTCAAAGGATGTTTTCTAGGCCTACTGGTAAGTAAATTGATAGGCTATAATGCACCAGGTGATAAAGCCTAAAGTTCTTCCAGCACTTAGTGAGCTTTTTTATTTTTCTTTTCCTCTCCTCGGATGGTTGCAGGTATGTTTTTTTCTGTGAAAGCTTTTGTTTTTTTCACGCGCCCCCCTTGCACTCTTTTCACTAAGTGTTCTCTGGTTGTTGCCTGAGAGCTGCATGGGGAGTACCTAAAGCTATCACTGTCCTCCACAGCTCATTTTGCTTCAGGGGTGTTTTGATCCTTCTTCTGTCTCAGGCAAGGTATGTTTAAAAGTCCTCACCTGGCACTCAGGAAGTCTTTGCACTTGAGTTTTTGGGCCCCTCTGAAAGGCCCAAGTTTGTTCTCCAGGATGGAGTTTCCCAGCCCATTTCCCTAGCATGGTTTACTGTGTCATGAAAGAGTCTTGCCCAAGAGGAAAAGTCATCTTGGGGATCTTGTAACACTTCACTATGCATTACATCTCCTCTTTGTCTTGTCTTTGTCTTCTCTATTTGGTCTTGTCACCCTACTGAAAACATTTTTAAAGTTATAGGGGCTTCTTTCAATAGAGGTCTTAACATACTAGGATTGACTTCTGCTGAGATTGGGATGTATCGTTTAAGTGTCCGTACATTGCCTTGTAATAGTGGTAAATATTTCATGAGATGACCATGTGAGTATAGAAGCTGGTCCTGCTCTTTCCATAACCTCTGTTCCTCCTGCCCAATATGCAACCCTGAGGATTATTGAATGGGGTTGATTGATAGGCTCAGTCCTAGGTTTAGTAAGACTCCTGGCTCCCAGTATCTAGCCTTATAGAATGATTTTATCTAGCATTCAAAGACTACTGAACTCTAGGTGGACATATTTTAACAGATTGTTCCTTATGATACAGTGAATAGTGGTCTAAATTAAGGGGATGGCGTGTGCAAATTTCAGCATATGGAAGAAGTAAATTACATGTTTTAGTCCTTTTCTCATGTAGAAATTTAGGTTGTAGTAGAGAAAGGAGAGAGGTTGAAAGAAGATTTTATTAAGGCTCTGGGAGACCAAGAACGCCTTTTCATGGAAATAAAATTAAAAATATGCCAACCTTGCAATATTCAGGAAAATTTAATAAAATCAATGAAATACTTATATTTCTGCCTTTCCCTACTTGAATGTTTATGCCTCTGTATGTAATATCTGTTTTATCAAGTTGAATTATATCAGTGGCAGTATCGATGAAAATAATGTCATGGAGTCAATATTTTACCATATGACCTCCTTTCTTTGCAGAATTTCTTAGTATTCTATCTTCTCCTACTCCTTCTCATCTTCAGCCCTGAATTATCTGGCAAAGTGATTTTCATCAGGAAAGGACAGCCCATGAAAATTGAGAATTTTTGCAGTAAAATATCTCTTATGATTAATTTTTTCCCCAGGAGGATTTTCCTAGATCCCCCAGTAACATCACAGGGAAAAGGAGTCTCCCTCTTCTCTTCTAGTTGGCAAAAATGGACAGACAGTGCATTTTTCATTGATCCATACCTTCACTTCCATCCAGCAATATTCTACTTGCTCCTGAGAGACTTACTCTCAACAAATCCTGTCTCCAACTCCCCTGGTTTTCATCCATATTTTTCCTGTATGTTTGCCACTTGCAAGGCATCCCAGGGAGTAGTTCTGACCATGTGTTTTTTTTTTCTGAGCTCCTTGAGGTCCTTTGAACACTTCAGTCTTAATTATGGGTATCATTTTTAATTCTAGAACTGCTTCCTTTTTAGATGAGGACCTAGAGGTTCAGTCATTTCATCAGAGACTTATTCTCCCTCATCAGCATTTTCATCAGGGTTTTCCTAAATACCACCACTTCAATCCTCAGGTGATACTATTAATTTTTGGATTTTTCTAACAGCTGGGGGATTGGTGAGTTTTAATATCAGCACTGATTTTTTCCCCCAAGGTTTTTTGCTTTCCTTTGGATTCTTTTAACTGTTGTTTTACCTTGTCATTTTGATACCATAAAGACAATTTTTCTTTCCTTTATTTACTATCTCAGATGCTTAGTTTGTTTCATAATTTGTTCTCTTTATTGCCATGCAGCCTTTAAGCATAGCCTGCACAACTGTAGTGTGCTTAGTATTCAAATTATGGAAGTGTGACAGTGTTCACAGGGGTTCTTGGATGAGGCAAGAGACGAGAATGTTGACTCCATGTTCAGAAGGCTTGATTTATTATTTTATGATATATATATATATTACATTATAACTATACTAAAAAGAAATAGAAGAAAAGGTTTCCTTAGAAGCTAGCTAAGAATAGAATGGAATAGAAAAGAATGATAACAAAGGCAGCTCTCTCGGACTCTGTCTGAGATAGCTCTGTCTTGATTGGTCATTAATTATAAACATTCAAGATGGCCCAATCAAAAATCCCTTTGTTGCATTCCACAGCAGCAGATAACCATTGTTTACACTTTGTTTCTGAGGCCTTAGCTTCTCAGAAGGGAAAATCCTAAAGAAAGGATTTTTAGTGAAAAAGATGTCTATGACATGGAAGTGTGTTGAGAAAGCAAAGAATATTGGTTTGGGTTTTTTTTTTTTCATTTTAATCATTCATTGCAAGTTAATGTGAATGCTGTGCTACAGCTGTGGAACAAGAATTTTTAATTTAGT